GATGCAGAACAAAATTAAATTACATGCAGTTTCATGCCCATTTTTTTTTCAATAAAGCCAGAACTTACACATTTGGAATTTAATTAAAACCAGGAGTTCAAATACATCAAAAACTCCTGCACTTACTGAATCAGATGCCTTCCCAGCAGGAGAGCTCCCCACTTTCTCTTCAGTTTCCATAGTATCACTAAGCAAAAAAAATACAAACATTCATATTTCAAAACCAAATCTTGCCTTTGGATTAAATCGTCTTCTTGCTTTGTTTCAAAGGTGTTGTTCAGCTCTTGCTCTGATATCACAATCAGGTGATTCATTGAAAGCTCTACATAACTGCTTTTTTACTTAGTTGGCTCCTTGACGGTAGTATGTTAGTAAAATGCTATTTGCCTCACCTCTACGATGTTTTGTACAAAAGCATCTGTAACATAAGTAAATGTAATGCAAATCACAAGCGTGATAAGCAGCAGTGATCTCACAATCTAACAGGCCACTCTGTGCACATCCTCTGTGTAGATCTACGCCACCACACACCAGCACCATCTGTGCGCTCACCCGTCTTTGTCATGGCTAACCACGGTGCCCGTGTTGGTGGAGCCCGGCACCGAGGGGATGGGGGTCCCCACAGTGCGCAGGTTCTGGATGACGGAGGACAGAAACTGCTGGCTGGCACTCTCATACAGGTCAAAGCATATCTGATAGGCCATCAGCAGGTTGTCCTCCTTAACCAGCTTCTCCAGGATGTCACTGACAGCTTGGGGGTCATCCAGGAATATCAGGCACTGCACAGGACGGGAAGAGAGGGTCAGGCACAGTACCACACACAGCCATGTCCATAGAAGATGGAAGATAGACACAAAACTAACATAAAGAAATCCAGGATGAACACCAGCTAATTCTAACCTAACCCTACATCATCTCTACTGGCCTCCACAGGATCTCCATCCTCTTCTAAAGCTGTCAGAGTGTAGCAGCAGACCAAAACATCAGCACCCCTATCCCCCCCCCCCAGAAACCCCTGAGCTCCCAAGGCAGGCTACCTGACAGACGTTGATGAAGTCCGGCTTCTCCAGGTTCATGTAAAGCTTGACCAACACCCTGAGAACTTCGTTGCGAAACTGCTTGTTCTGCATCAGCGACATGCACACCTTCAGGCTGTAGGCCAGGAGGCCGCTGACGTCATTCTGCTCAAAGGGGGAAAACGGCACTATATCAGGTCATGGAGAAGCGGATGTCAAGGCCTCCATGAAACGATGTACAGCTACCTCCACAAGAACAAACACGTAAGAGCTGGAGACACAAGCAAAGCAATATCAATAAAAATCATTATTTACAACCCAGCTATCTGGTACAGATGAATAATATAATCATACTCAGAACTTAACAAGAGCGATACAGAATTATCACTAGCTGCTCTCAACCTGCTATTGACTCCTGCCAGGCATACAGTACAGATGGCATGCCTTCAGTGGCCTGCCTTCTGTCTGGGACTTCAATGCACATGCACACACGATATAATCATTTTATTATAATGTATTTATACATTATGCGTATATATAAATGTTGAATCTAATTTTTAAAATGTGGTTGTCAAATATCAAATGTGTTCCCCCCCCCCCCCAAACAGATTCACCATCTGGTAAAAACCCAAAAAACATTACATATAATCAATTGAATTGTAGGCAGCTAAAAACTATAAATCTGGTCAAAGTGCAAACACTGCTTACAAATTCTGCCCTGCAAAGACATTTATCACAGATGACTATGCTTGCTATTAAAACATAGTAGTGCCCTCAGCAACAGTCTGACAGTGCACCTCCACTGTGCCAATATGATTATAAGTTAAACATAATTAGAGAGGTAATCACTTGACCATGCAGCTAAGAAGTAGATCCTTAATTATCGGAAATTCCTCAGGATATACTTACAGACTCCAGAATGGTCTTCTCAAAGATGTCCAAGCGGCGTGTCTCCAGGGCAATACCGATAGCCTGCTTGTACTTATGGTCTCCCAGGCAACGGAGGAACATTTTGTTTACAATGCCCTCAAGCCGTGGGTCAATGTTCTTCTTCTCCTCACCATCCGGTAGCTCTGCGTTCTCCACGCGCAGCTTTGTGTAATGGTCAATGCATTTGGCTGAAGGCATGTCACAGGGAAGCATATCATTCCCACAGGTAAATCTAACTATTATATATTCAGAAAGAACCGACAATCTATTCTAGTGCTTAAGTTCAGGAAACTCATTTAAACATTTCAGGAATAAATTAAATCACATGCAAAATATATTTAATCTGCACTTTATTATCATTTCTGTTTTTGCACATCTACCATTCCTGACATTCGCACACTCACCAATAATTGTCTCCACATATTCTGAATCATCAGTGACATTGAACAGGTCCCCAGCGCCAAGAGCGTAGTTCAGGGACTCCTCGAAAGCCCCAAGATGGTAGAAAACTTTGGAAGCCACCAGAGCAGCAAACTCTCTGCTACGAAACGTCTCATCTTCATACAAAACTTCACTAAAGCCAGGAGGAGGAGGAAAATATGATATTCAACAAAAGTACTAAGAAATTTCCAAAACTTGACATGGACACATTATATACTGTTTTTCCAAATTCACACCAGAATACTGCTAATTAAGATGCCTTTGATACTCCTGATTCACAGTTCCATTTATGGGCCATAACATATCGTTGTTTTTTCCTTACATTTTTGCACTTGATCAACTACTTGTACCTGTCAACAATTACTTATTAATATAGTAACCGACAGCTACAAACCTTTCCTACCTACAAGATCAAAACGGTTTGAACCAATTCACAGAAATACCTTTTCAAAATTTCTCGGTATACTTCCACGACGTCAAAATTTGTGTTTTATTAAATATTTACAAATGATTACTTACATTTTATCAACGGATTCCGATATCTCAGCCCAAAAGTCATTGACAATAGAGTTCAATTTGTGCAAGGCAAACTCCTAATGCAAGAGAAAAGCCATCGGGTAAGTCATTATTCGTCTCAGGATACATTAACTAAAACTATATCATTCAAGTATTTACCTTCAATTGGGGCTCGTCTTCGTCCAACAGAGAAATTATTCCCGCTGCGAAAATAAATGCATAAAAGACGGAAGATGAGCACGGCAAAGCCGTTTTCGGGGTTTTATGTGCGGGACCGACCGTAAACACACACGCTAGGCCTCCTACCATTCATTACGGTCAGTTTCAGGGAACAGACAGAAACCTCATGTTTTTCCTGTACCTATAGAGTATTCCGATTATTCTGCTTATAATGACACTGTATGAAACTACCCTTATAAACAATTTCAGAGCAGCTGCCAAAAGTTACCCCCGGTATAGACGGCTTGGCTCTTTGTACCGGTAGCCAAGTCTCTTAGCGGTCGTATACTTGCTGGTTATCATTAAGTTAAAATTACGTTTATATTGAAGACGTAATATGTTTCCTAAAAGACACCCCGACTGTTGTGTTCGTTCAGTGTGAGATATACGTCGGGAATTAACAGCAATGCTAACCGGCTAGCTCTGACTCAGCTAAATCAACCGGCACTTCCTCGTCTGCCACTAACACAAGCCTGCTCGAAAAAATATACGTACATCATTGTTCAGTCACTTACCCGCTGAAGTTATCATATTTGATTCTTATGCCACCTCTGTACTGAGACAAAGGAAACGTGTTCTCTACTGGAAAGAGAAATCTCAGAAAGCATAAATTATCACCCCGTGTCAGTGAGCGACACTACCTCCGCTGTTTTTTTCTTTCAAAAGAAGCCCTAGGCATGGACCCGTTGTTTGTGCATGGTGTCCAATGTGTTGCCTGACTGTTGAATTAAAACTTCCCATTTTTAAAAAACTGAAAAATGTAAATGGTGCTATTACAACTACATATGAATAGAAGACCTAGAGCTAAACATAATTTTTAGCTTGCTGGTTTAATTCCGTTGTGAATTAAACTCTCATATGCTAATAAGAAATTTTAAACAGGAGATTTTTGAACCTCAACCGAACTCTGGGTCTTGTAGTTGGAGAAATGGAACAAAAAAACGACTATGCATCAATAGGACTGGAAAGACCGTGGGTGTTCTTGGAATAAGCGGCTGGTGGGTGGATGGATGGATCCTCCGTCCGTCCGTCCATTCATCCATCATCAGCTTATCCTGGTTAAGGTCACGTGGTTGGACCGAATCGCTCAATTTGATTAGAATGGTAGATTCTCGAGAAATCTCATCCTTCAAAAAATGAAAAAGGTTTCAAATTCATTTAAAATTTATTCTAAAGCACGTGCTGGTTAAACAAATACACTGAAACGCAAATTTAGGTATAAATATGAATTTAATACAATTAGAAAAATATTAATCATAATCCTTGATTGTAATAAAACAGCCTATTTTAACATAAAATTACTGTTAAACAATTCCATATGTTTTATACAAAATAAATGCTACATCTCAGTTAGATATATGTATATTTATCAATTGACTTTTAAATATTTAGTGATGATATGTAAAAGACAGGGCTATATAGTGACCAACAAGAAATACAATAAGAATGAAGATCGGTATTGAGAACTGTATCAAGTTTTAAACTAAATGAATACATGACCTAATTTAATTTAATACCCATATTTAATGTTACTGATTAAATTGTTCAACACAATTACCTTTAAACATCCCACTCATGGGATGCATTCCATAATAACAGAAAAAGCAGTTTATTGTGCAAATCATCTATATCTTTCAAAACACTAAAAAGTAGCAGATATTTCTTCCATTTTTGAGAAAAAACAACATACAAATCTAGTGCCATTGAGACACGTGGAAAACAAGCATTCACCCTTAATAAAGAAGGTACATAAAATGGTGAATGAGATGCTCCTGCAACCTTGGCTGTTGGTTTTTAATAAAAATATAATTGCATATATATAAAACTAAGCAGAGCAGCAATCAAATTAGTTGCCTCAATTCATAATTTTTTCACGCATTAAAAACCTGGCTTATACAAATCTGTAATGCACTATGAACAAGATCCAGTGATACCATCAGTGTTACTTTAAAATGGTGCCTTTAACTGAAGTGTAAGTTGACAAAAGATTTTCTGTGGTTGTAATCATTAAGTCAGGTTGTTTAATCTTCACAAAAGTCATATTGTTGTTAAAGTTGTACATTATTTTAAAAGATTTTCTTAAAGATAAATTGATTATAGTATAATTCTTTTTTAACATAAACTCATGCAAGCTGTGCAGCCTAGCGTTATAGGACATGAGAAATGGACAGTTTGGCTCTGCTATCCGCTCATGTTACAGCCTGCCTGCTGCATGTTGGTTGTGGAGGTCTTCGTAAGGGGTACACACTCTTCCACACACTCTGCTCCACCTAGAAATTTTAAATGAGAGTTAAAAATTATTTCCCTGTAATCAAACCAAATGTTTCACAATTTGGGTGACACAGTGGCTGAGCAGGTAGCAGTCACCGACACTCTAAAAGGTCCTGGGCTGAGTTTTGACCACAAAAGCTGGATTGAGCCTGTTGGATATTATTTTTGGGTTGTTTTCAGTCCAAATACCCAGTCCTGACCCAGCATTTCGGCTGCTGGCCGGACCCGGCTGCGGGGGGATGTTTAAGACCCAGCATTTGGACACCTGTACCCATATTCTGTCACATAACATTCAAATATATTCGTTGGAACTATTGGAAAATAAACAGTCAAATAACCTCAAACACCAGATGAGAAATTTTTGCTTTTATTCCACCGTGTAATAATATCTATAATAAAACAATACTGTAATATTTGAATAATATACATGATAACAAAATTAAAGCTAATTTTAACTCCTTCTCTTGGAACAATAACGTTACACTGTCTTTCATCTATTGCCAGCAAGCTAACGTTGGTTAAATGCTACCTAGCCAGTTAACCATGAGCTAAGTAAGAGATAACTTACTGTATTGTGTCTGTGTGTGTATGTATGTGTGTATATATATATATATATATATATATATATATATATATATATATACATATACATATACATACACACACACACACACACACACACCCTGCACAAACTAACCTAGAATCATGATTGAATTGCATAACCCAACAGGCTGGGTTAAAATAACCCTGCTTAATATTTATCTAGTGCTGGGCTGCCAGTTAACCCATGTTGGGTTGTGTTGACCCAAGCAGTATCTTAGAGTGGACCCATGTCACATTGGTTTTCACCCACAGTCCAAAGTTAGGCTATCTGGTGTCTATGAATTGTCCATATTTAGTGATGGTAGGTATATGCCCTGTCATGAGCTGGTATCTGATCCTGATGGACCCCAGTCTTATGCCCTGTGCTGCCTGACACTGGCTGCAGACCAGCCCCTCCAGGGTAACTGGTTAGAAGACACATGCATGGTTTTCACCTTGCTTCCCGTTAATGGAGGTGCTGGTGGCTGTGTTTCTCTGAGCTCCTCTGTGAACCCATGGGAAGCACTGTAACATTTCTGATAAGCCGCTCCCTCTGTTCACAGCATTACCTAAAATCACAACAGGTGTAACAATTAAAGTTTGGAAGCAATCGGTGCTCTGACACATACCTCTACGTTTTACATGTAGGTTTCAATTAACAAAATAGATTAAGTATTTTATTTATAACCAAGTAAAGAAAATAAGCTACATGAACATAAAATACTATTATAGTAGGCTATCAATACAGTAAGAAAACATGAAATGAACTTCAGTTTTACTTGAGGTACTTAACCTCTATGAAGAGATGATTGTAGTGTCCTGCAGACATTTTTTTTAATTGTATGCATCTGCCGTCTTTGGCACGAAAGGTCCGACCCAGATCATTTCAGAGGAGTGGCTTCTGAACACTGACCGCATAAGTTGATCCAAAACCTCTACGGATGTACACGTTTCTCTGCTTTGGCCTCTTAAGTACACCAATCCTAGCAATGCAGGAACGACACCGGCTTTTTTCAGTCGGACTTTCACATCTTTAAGGATTTCCTTCAAGCAGATCCTGTTTTCTATACAACTGATAAATTCCTGCCTAAAAATAAATATTATTATTGGCGAATCGATGGCCCGATGAACCCCGCGGGGATCGCTGTTCTTGTTAAAAATTCCCCGTTTCACTCCCATTGCTTTTTCGGTGTCCTCTCCATCCAGTTTTGCATTCACCTCTAAACCCTGTGGCCTCCGAGGCTGGATTAACTCGCCCCCTTGGGAAGAAAGCAAGGCTTTCGCCCTGGATACATTGTTGCTGGTTGCAGTCTTTTCGAAGGATGTTTGATTTTCTTGGCTTTTATCGTCAGCAGACACGGATCCGTTACTTATATTACTCGCCATGTGATTAAAGTTGTCAGTTGCGTCATCCCGGTACTCAAGGCAGGGAGAATGAAATATTTCCTTCACGAATTCCTCAACGAGCTGCGATGGGTTTCCGTCTTGGGGATTCCAGGACTCGCTTACAAGATATATCCTCTCTTTACCCCCGATCTCACTTAGAATTTGCTGAAACTCTTCGTCTCCCTGTGACTTACCGGCCATCTCCAATTTCTTGCTCTCGGATATTCAAAAGATTTCGCCTATTTATGCAAAGACAACCGCACACCGTGAAACGGTAGATTTACTGCATCGGACGTATCGGACACATCTGTATTCTAGACTCCAAAGAAAGCGGTGTATTTAACAGCCCAAAGGAGTTAACAGAGAAACTACTGCAGATCGGTGGGAAAGCCCGAACACCAAAGTAAAATAGATTATGGGCGTGGCAAATAGAGATCGGGCGCTGGAGTCGACTGTTGATTGGTCGACGCATTTTGATTGCTAGACGGGCTCGCGAGGTGAGCAAAAAAAAAGATCCCGTGTTTGCCCTGAGGTTAATGTCTAATATGCAGCAAATAAACAGACAGCATTTTTGCAACCATATTAATGGAAATCGTTGTCAGAGTCTGCCACAAGAATATGAAAAGTCAAGCTCATTATTTTACCTATTTTAACACAGAATACAACTACATATACCCAAAACTGCCAGTTTCAGTTAGGTAAATCTAAAGGATGCTAACCTCATAACTGACCCATGATATCCCTGAAGGCTAACTTTGACTTTTAGACTCAAGGCAACAGGGTGTCGAGGGGTTCATCCTGTTTGTAGTTCCAATAGACAATATTTAAAATGTGAATAATTACTGTCACCAAGATCCTGACCAGGATAAGCAATTAGGAGAATACTATTAAATATGAAAGAAAATCTCTACTATACTAATCGCTAAAATATAAATAACTATTCATGTTAAAAACAGAATTTATGTGATATCTTTAGTTAATGGCAGATCAGAGGCTTAGGGGTGTGATTGACTGCAGCTGTTATTGCCAGGCGTCATACTGCCATTCACAGCCACTGCGAGGTGCTACAGAGTGTAGTGTGCCATGGTCCCAGACAACAGGCTCTGCCTTCGACAGCCACTGCGAGGTGCTGCAGTGTAGTGTGCCATGGTCCCAGACAACGGGCTCTGCCTTCGACAGCCACTGCGAGGTGCTGCAGTGTAGTGTGCCATGGTCCCAGACATCGGGCTCTGTCTTCGACAGTCACTGCGAGGTGCTGCAGTGTAGTGTGCCATGGTCCCAGACACCAAGCTTTGCCTTTGACAGCCACTGTGAGGCGTTGTAGTGTAGTGTGCCATGGTCCTAGACACTGGGCTCTGCCTTTGACAGCCACTACAAGGCAATGCAGTGTAGTGTGCCATGGTCCCAGACAACGGGCTCTGCCTTCGACAGTCACTGCGAGGTGCTGTAGTCTAGTGTGCCATGGTCCGAGACACCGGGCTCTGCCTTTGACAGCCATTGCGAGGTGCTGCAGTGTCGTGTGCCATCAACCCAGACACCAGGCACTGTGAGGCACTGCAGTGTAGTGTGCCATGGTCCCAGGCACCGGGATCTGCCTTTGACAGCCACACTTCAAGTAACCATGCCGCAAGCACCTGACATACACCTGTCCAACAAAACAGTAATGACGTTATTAACTAGGAAATTTACCTGAATGAAGAAAACATGAAGTTTCCTTCATGAAATAGTCAAGCAGGTAGTTAATAACTTCATTGCTATTTGGATCATTAAAACAATGAGGAAAGTGACCCCTTTTGAATTCAAGGTCAGTAGGAAGTAGGTTTCCCTTTGAGGCTGTTCCTTCTCTATCATGACACACCAGCTCTGTGAAAGTCTTTCCTGGTAACCTGAGGCTGCCGCACCCATTTCCATTGTGCTCTGGGGGAACTTTGTGTTTATATTAAACTGGCTGTGAATTCTAGTCCCTTTCAATCTCTATCTAAATACCCAAAACCACTAAGATCCTCAATAGATAGCATGGTTTGATGATCGATAAATGGATGGATGGAAATATTCATTGACATTGGATGAATGAAAATATTAATATTTCCATTTACCCATTTTTGTTTATAGATAAAGATATTTAACAAACCCATGGTGAGTCCATGTGATCATGCTGTTGAGGGTTGTCCTGCTATGATCTCAGTAGAATCAGAATCATAATTCCTTATTGCACGATTGCACAATGAAAAACTGTGTGGTTCACTCCTAATAGCAGCATCTATAAACAACAATAAAGACACATGCCAAATGAGAATTACAGAAGCAATAAATATCCATCCATTCATCCAACCACCCATCCATCCATCCACTGTCCAACCTGCCTATCCTACTCGTTGCTGGATCCTGGTTCCAACACCCTGAGCCACATCGTTGGACTTGGTTCTCCAATACTGGTGCTGCGGCGAAGGAGTTCGATCACATCCTTGTGGGCAGACGCTGGAGGCTCCTGCAGAACTGCAGGGTCTGCAGAAGTGCTCAGTTTGTGAATTCTGCCCGCAGACTTGTTGAAACTCTGAAGATTCAGCTAAGATCCAGTAGGCTGCCACCTACTAGGAGAATGTGGCTGTACTGTACCTAGCCAGACTCCAAGATCAAGCCGTTTCTGATCATTTGCACACAATTTGTGGAAGGAACTTGCAGACTTGGGTGCGACTGCTGACTCTAATGTGATGTGGGAGACCTTCCATGATAAGACTCTGAAGGTTGTCGAGGGTTGTGTTGGTGTTGCCAGTGTTCCCAGAAGGAGGTGTTTCATCTCGCAGGGCACCCTGGATATTATCGAGAGGAGTCACAGCGCATGACTTGGTGGCAACTCCAGTCTGTACCGGGAACTGAGAAGGATGGCTGTGAGGGCTCTGAGGGCAGATAAGGAGGCGTTTGTTAGCAAATGGCTACACACCATCTGTGGTCTAGTGACCCACGTCCTGTTGCTTACAGAGGAATCAAAGCATTATGCACATCTGAATCTGTTCCTTGGAGACTTGCAGTCAGGGCGGGTGTTGGAACAGTCCTTACAGATGACACTGCAGTTGTGACATGCTGCAGTTGTTTAAAGTGGACCCTCCAGATGTTGGACATCTCTGGGTCCACAGTTCTCGAAGCTGATCCTGCAATCAGCTGTGAACCACCCAATCTCACTGAGATTGCATGGGTAACACCTAAGAAGTCTACCATCAACCATATCCTGGTACTGAGGGTTCTCATGGAGCGCAAGCATGAATATTGCTTGCGCTCCATGACTCAGTTGATCGAGTTGCCTTGTGGGACATCCTGAGACTTCACAGGATCCCCCCAAAGTTGCTGCACATCATGGCCGGCCTGTACACTGGCATTGTGAGTGCTATGCTGAGTGGAGGAAGAACCTCTGCATTCTTCCCAGTTGATTTTGGGGTTCACTAGGGGTCTGTTCTTGCTCCTACTCTGTTCAATGCTTATATGGACTGGGTGTTGGGCAGGGTCATGGGGTCCAGCAGCTGTGGGGTGTCCGTTGGTGAAGAAAGATTTACTGATCTTGATTTTACCGAGGATGCTGTGATTTTAGCAGAGTCAATGAAGGCTCTGATTGGGACTCTCGAGAGACTGAGCGAGGAGTCTGAGTGTCTGGGATATCGGGTGTCCTGGATTAAGACCAAAATCCAGGTATTTAATGACTTCTTGGACACAGCCATCAGTAGTGTGACTGTCTGTGGGGAGAATGTCGACCATGTCGAGAGATTTACCTACCTCGGCAGCGGCATCCATGTCTCTGGTGACTCTTCCTATGAAGTCAGTAGATGGATTGGAAGAACATAGGGGGTCATGAGGTCGCAGGAAAGGGGTGTGTGGCGTTCCCGATACCTTTGCAAGAGGACAAAGGTCGAAGTCTTTAGAGTCCCAGTGCTCCCTGTCTTGCTGTATGGCTGCGAGACATTGACTATCCAGTGAGCTGAGACAAGACTAGACTCCTTCGGTACTGTGTCTCTTTGGAGAATCCTTGGGTACCGCTGGTTTGGCTTTGTGTCGAATGAGTGCTTACTAGAGGAGTCCCCAATGAGGCACATTACCTGCATTGTGAGGGATCCTCAGTTATAGCACTACGGCCATGTGACGCATTTTCCTGAGGGTGATCCAGTTCACCGGATTCTCATTGCTGGGGACCCAAGTGGCTGGAACAGGCCAAAGGGGTGCCCATGTAACACCTAGCTGCAGCAGATGGATGGCCATTTCCGGAAGGTGGGACTGGACCGTGTCTCTGCCTGGGAGATCGCTGGCCGGGATCCTGAGGAGTTTTGCCATGTGGTGGGTGTGGCAACACGCTGCATCAGCGCATGCTCCCCAACCTGAGCTGACCTGATCCTATCAAATTTGAGGCTCCTTCCCTATACACTGCTTCATCATTATTGGATCAGCCCTCTGCAGATTTGGCAATGGTGTTTGAACTGTGGATAGAGAGGGTACAGGAGTAGGCAAGCCAAGTCATGGGAAGTCATATATTTTTAATCATATATTCTTACTAATATGTTACTTTAGCTTTAAATATTTTGTATCTCACCTTTCTTCCCTTACTTATGTTCAGTGTTCTCCACACTTTGTCACCTTGGACATGGACTAACTGCTATTTTTTAAAATGATGCCATCAGGATTGCTAGGTCTGAGCAAAGAGTTTTCTGGAAAAATACTGGAATGTGTCCTTGGCTGCAGAAGCTAAGAACACCTTATCTTTGTGAATGGTCCCAGATGGGTTGAGACACTGAAACGAACTCCTACACCTTTCACAGATCCAAGAGTGTGCATCTTCTTATTTTCTTTTGTTTCATATTTGTACTGTTTTATCTATTATACACTGAAGTTAATCACTACAGAACTCAACTGTCTGCAGAGCAGGTCCTTTTAAGAAAAACCCAGCAATTAGTGTTCTCATCCATTTTCCCAGTTTGGCTGATGGGAGAAGATCCTCACCAACAATTATGTGTGAATTCAACGAGACACCTTTTTTACGCTACAAGAACTGATTCTGCCAGCTCTGTAGGTTAAACATACCTCAGTCCTGAAGAATTGATTTGGTTTACGTGATTGCAATGCTTAATGTTTGGTGTTAATACTGTAAATTGCCTTCTTGAAGGGATTATTCAATGACTAGTGTATGATACCTATGCTGGGCCTTATCAGGGATCATTGCTCCTTTGATTGGAGGATTCACTGCTCAGAAGAACTAGTCAGGGATTGCTCTGTTTCATGTGATAATGACTATAAATCGTTGAAATAATCAGTTAATAATTTGTCTGGGTAATGGGTAATGGTTGGATGATAAGGACAATTAGTATTAGTGACACTATACTTTTGTTTGGTATTTTGTGCATTTCATATGACTAGAGATCAGGAAAGTTTGAAAATTAACTTCTTTGCAGTTGTATGGTTTCATAACCATGGCTGATACTACTGTTAAAGGTGGTATGAAACCTCCTGTCTGATAGTTTAAACAAGGACTCGAATGCCTGCTTTGGCTTAGCAAAAACAGTCAGTGCTATTTGGACTAAATTTATGATTAACACTGACAAAGATGATACTTGGCTGTTAAATGGGGGTAAGATTAATCTTAATCTTGGGGTAAGATTAAGTGCATGAGAATTGGTAAAAAAAGATGCTTGGATGTTTGTGGCATGCCCTCAGTTATGGAGGCATGAAGACAAAGTTAAGACTAACAACCTGCGGCAAGAGTTTGCTCATGACTGAGAACACAAGAGGGCCCTGGCTGAGGAGCTGAAGCAGGTGAGAGATAGTGAAAAATGTAGTCAACATCAAGGTGCTTTATCCAGCCAATCACAGGCTTCCCTGGAGACAGGAAAACTGCTACCTATCTGTGGCAACACATTCATCTTGACCAATAGAGGGGAACCAGGTACAACACTTGCACCCAGTTATGAAAATGAATGGGTGAATGGGTTACTGTTGCAACTTTCAGTCGGGTCCTGTATACGTTCAAAAAGGAACATAGCATTTTATTTTTCAATACCAGGCAGGTGAAAACTCCAATAAATTGTGATAAACCTGTCTCCTGTAACAAGCAGCAAGGCAGTCAGAAAGAAAACCCAGCAATAAACCGTACTGTCTGCATTTTACTAGTGTTACGCCCTATGACAAAAAAATATCCCTGGGGAACCCACGGGGTCATATACAACCCTTCCTTTTATTTCTGCCTTACATTCAACACACTCATCAAAAAGTTACGAATTTTTTTTGTTTGCTTTACAGCCCATTGTACCATATACGACCAAGTAACAGTGACATTTAGTGATTACTGACTGAATTAAGCAGATTTTTTCCACAATAAATATGGCCCCCAACGCGTTTTGAGGTTGTTGCTGTACATGCTGCAAAGATTCACCTGGCAAGCTGTGAATAGGTAAGTGGCAGAAATTTTGCATCATCAGTTATAATATTTAGATGTTATAGATCATGTACAACTAGGTTTTGGATGTTTTGAAACTTTTCTGGCAACTGTGATGATCATGTTCCATGTGCTCAACATCAGCCTCAGACAAAAACAGAGGGAATACAGGTGGTGCACCAGACCTTACAACCCACCGTTTCTTGATGGGTTGGCATGTTTGAAGCATGTGTTTTATTGTCAGCACATGGTAAATGATGAAAAGGAAACCTCAATAAATGCATTATGAAAATGGGAATGTTGAAAAGATTTGGTTTTTCCTTCTTTTCTGTCCTTATTTCATAGGTGAAATTAACAAGTTGGAATAGTCCAGCGGGTCGCATATGGCACATTCATAACATGGACTGGGAAAGGGTTATTTTTACAAGACACCTGTTTTTGAGTTCACTGTGTCTGTATGATCATTTTAGCCAATGGACATATTTTCCTATAATGATAAGGTGGTCTGGGTTCCCCAGGGATATTGTATAATTTATTTATTCAAATTAGATTTGTTTGCAGTCCATTTGTCATCCTAATCATGTTCAGTTTAAGGTGAATCTGTTTAAGGAGAATTCTAAGGGGATTTTAAGCATATACAGGGCCTCAAAGTAAATAAATTATCAATCATTATTGAAAATAATAATATTGTGATAATTATCTATATTGACTGATATGAACATTTATAATGCGGTAACATTTTTGGCCATATTGCCCAGCCCTATAGGAAATACAACATATGTATTTGCAATATCACAGAGGGGCTATTTACAATGTTCCCAGCATGCTCAGCGCAGTTACTGGGCTTCACTATTTGGAGCCATCTCACCGGTGTGACTGTCCCTGCAACCACCACACCCAGTCCTCTGCCTCACCCTCCAACAAGTTGCCATGGACTAGTGGCAGCCCACAGTGCTCGCTTTCTTGGGACAGCTTACGCATGGATCAGTTGGGGACTGCTGGCAGAGCTGGACTGCTAGTGGGCGCTAGGCGGCCAGCAGGCTCTGGCGATGCAGATCCCCCCGCGCCCTGGCCCTTCTTCTTCTGCGGCTTGGTGGGGACCTGTTGCTGACCACCAGCAGCATGCCTCCTTGCTATTTCCTCTGCTGGTCTGCAACTCCAGTGACCTCAGCACCTGCTGGTCCCACTCACCCATTGCCCTGCCAGTTCACTGTATTCCTGGGCCAGCTGTGCCTCCAAATCACAACACGCCTCTTCACAGCTGAGCTGCACTGCCTCATGGCCGAGGAACACCGCCTCTGCTGCCTCAGTCAGACCTATCTGGTGGGCGCGCTTGCACTCCCAGCTGGCCAGTTCTTCATTCAGCCGCTCCCAGTCCTGCTGGCTCCTCCACCACTTTGAGCTCACGACACTCCTGTGGCAGCTGGCTTCAGGGCATGCTGCAGAAGAATGTGGGTCCGGCAGGCTGGCAAGGGTGGCATTAGGGCACTCTGCAGGAATCTGGGGCTCTGTTGTCTCCTGCTCGTGGCTCTGGCACAGGCTTCCAAGCAGTAGTGTGCCTGATACCCTTTCTCCCTGCAGCAGAGTAGCTTCTTGTCCCCTGCCATCCTTGCTGGAAAATTGCTCCTGCTTCTCCAGGTCTGCCAGGCTAGAGTGGTCAACCCAAAGGGGGTTGAGGAATGAGAAGAACACTCTCCAGTGCCACCAGTGGGGCCACTTCAGGCATTCCACTACTGACACCAGCATAGCGGACAGGTAGATCATATTGTCTAAACAATTGACGAAAGAGGGGACAATCATAATTTTCCAACAGGTGGATTTATTGCACCTGTATCTTACTCACTGCCCACCGTGCAAGTCACCCAGGCTACTCCTAACACACAGCATGAGCAAACACAGACACACCACTATTTACAACAAATAATACTAAACACTACACGAGACATTACGATACACACAACAAACGCTAACTATACTCCATTATTTACTTTATGTACATGGCGCACTGCCCGATGGATCCCGGCAGCGCTACAATATGTATAAACACCAGCGGCAGGTAGGAGCGCATTTCAGTTTGGCTATATTGTAATCATGAATAATGTCCCTAACGGCGGACTGTATTTTGTTTCTGGTCCGACCATAATACCTGTAACGCGCGTGTCGGAAGTGACGTTGCTTCTTCTGAGCGCTGATAGCTAACGTGGAATCTGGCGTTTGTTAACGGACGGATTTCAAATAGTCGTCCCATTTCGAAAGCAAAAAAATAAAAATTTAAATTAAATATATAAAAATAACAACAACCCTCCGTAGAGAAGAGCGTAAATGGTGCTAGTAAGTATGCAGCAGTTAGTATTTTTATGTAGATAATTCTGTAAGCAGTGCTCTTCCCACTTGTGCTACTAGTTATGTACCAGCATTATTAAACAATTTTAAATGCAGTAATTTTAATCAGTCACCAGCGAATAAATGAAGGCGACCGTCGTGCAGTTTCATAGGGTGTGTTCTATTAGTAGTTTCGGAATTATTCATTTAAAAACCCGCGTCTATGTAATAATACTTCGCTTGCAAGCTACTGGATGACTGATAGATTTTCATTGCGCCGTAGCTCGCAACAGGTAAAAGTTATTGTTGCTTCAGTATAAAATTAATAGCACCAATTACTGTGTCATTTAAAACGTTTTAAATGGGAATCGCTCTGAATTGTCTGTTTTAAGAAAAATGTGACATGCGCGTGTTCTCATTTTAGGACACTTTCTCTGTTATGAGACTGACCAAACTTTTAAAGGCTGACGATGGATCGGGATCTGCTGCGGCAGTCGCTGTCGTATCATGGTCAAAGCCTTTTTTCCCTTATGAAATGTGAACAAAATGAAAATCCCGATTTCAAATCAATTGTGGCAGATTTGTCCAAGGCCCCAAACCCAAGGTATTTATACTCCTTTTATGCGGTGTAAACTTCAGACCCATATCCTTAGCTTGCTGTTTATGTCAATTTGTTTAAAAATTGTCCAAATGTTTTTTTTTAAGTTTATTAATTCTAGTTATAAAGCTGATCCTGTTGTTCTTTGTACTAGACAGAAACATTTAAACTTAATCAAATTCATATGTAATACTGAACATACGTTATCAAGCTGCACCAAGTGTCTGGCTTCAGTTTTGAGGTGAAAATGGGGATACAGGGAGGTTGGGTTACCCAGAAAGACAGCCCTGGGAAGGAAGCTGTCCGGGTGCTGTGATTCTGGCTCTAAAGAGGCTGGCCTGGATAGGAGGCGTCAGAGACAGATCTTGCTTCCTTCTTTGTGCAGCAGATATGAAAATGTTTGCAGCTTCAAAACCCAGTCACCGCTCTTACTTGATGTACTTGATAAGTAGTTCAGGTTTTTTTTATAGACAGTTTGGTTTTCTCCTTTTTTTTTTTTTTGCTCTGTATGAGCAGATTAACTATTTTCCCATGTAGGGCGTAGCTTTCCTATCTACAGATTACCGCCATGGGTGCTTTTTACTGGCATGCAGGAACCAAGCCATACATGACCCGTACTGTGAAGAGAACATAGTTAGTGTGCTTCCAGCTCACTTTGATTTTTCTACTGCAGAAGAGTTGGCTCAGTAAACGTTTTGAACTTGGCAGTTGGAAATTCTGAGTTCCTAGTTGGAAATTTCACCTGGGACGCCCTCTAAAGTCAGAGGAATTACAACCCCACCCTCAGAATACATGATGGCTGTGCCCTGCAACAGAAGTGAAAGCTGAAGTTATATACCGTTTATAAGCACTTAAGTCTTATTTGTGTTTCATTAAATTTGTCCACACAGTGTAGTCCAACCGCTATCTGGGGACACCCACATCTGGTGTTTGTATGCACAAAATACCCTGTAATTCACTAACTAGTTTTGCTAACAATGTCTGGCCATGAACCTGGCAAGAACTAGTATTGCTAAATTGCTTTCCGACTTATTGTACTGGAATGCAGTTAACTCGTTTGAGACGTCATTTCCAGCTCTGACCTCCGACCTTTGAGGTAAATAGAACACAGTGTTACTATGTGCTCATTTCCACTAGTACATCAGTGAGAATCACCATGTTAACATCAAATGCTAGCAGAATCCATTAGCTGGCGTAAATGTGCATTACAAATCCTCTCCATTCAACTGTTTTATTGTACTTTTTCAGGTAGGAGACTGGTAATTTGCATGTTCCGAGCAATCAAGAATGCATCAGTACATCATGATGTGTGACACTACATGTAATGAATAATTAGTTTTGTTGTTGTCACTGTGCATTTCAGCCAATCAGATGGTGGTTATGCAACCAGCTTGATTTAGTCATGCTTTTAGCCCTGCCAGTAAGCAGGGCCATGTCAGTTTGGGTACAGGTCGGGTACGGCTTGCATAATTTACAGTGGAAAACCATCTCTTTGCAGTTCAGCTTGGTTCTTGGTGGCAGTGGAAAAGCCCCAAATAATGCTCAGAAGACTAATTTTCAGAATATCAGATAACGAGCGCAGTTGATGGAATTCGTTCTTGCATGTTCTCTGCATTTTTCCACAGGAAAGAAAAAAAGACTTGTAGCAATGCAGTTGAACAGTTTATCTCAAGGAAGGCAGACCTCCTGTTTGCACCTTCCTGGAAGTCATGTGAACCGCCTGAGCAGGAGTGGCAGGAGGAGACCGATGGTAGTGCTTTCATTATCGTATGACCACTGACTATTGGGATCCCATTTTGCACAACATTGAATTGTGTTCATGTTACAGAGCCCTATGCTATCATGCCCCCGCTGGAGCAGTTCATGGGTATCGATTTTGAGGAGAGGAGGGACTTGTTCTACAGAGACGTTGAACGTGGTGATGCCGTGATTGGCCGGATCAACGCCATACGGGATTTCGGTTTCTTCATCACTTTGTTATGTCTGGCTGGAGGGCTGGAGAGGGACATTGAGGATCTGGAGCTGACGGTAGGTTGCTGGGTCTCGGGGGAACACTCCTGGGGGGGGGGGTCCTCACCATATAGTGTGATCCTTTTATTTTCCCTTTCTGTACCTCAGGCCCTGTGCCCCATACGAGATGTGCCGTCTAACGGGAATCACGATGACCCGCTCTCCTACTACCAAGTGAGAGACCTGATTCGAGGTGACTGTTTGAAACACGTGCTGTGGGTTGAACAGGCCTGTTTTAAAAAAAAAAGCACTGGAGGTATTAATGATATTTGCCTGCTGTTATTTGTTTTAGCCGGGGTGAAGGACATCGACCGCTACCACGGGAAGCTGACCGTTTCCCTGCAGCCATCCTCTCTCTCTCAGAGCCTGGCGAAACTGAAACTGGGGGTCATCAGCAGAGAGGACCTGCCGCTACATTACTGGTATGAAAGTAAACTCTCTGTGGAGTCGTGTCAACATTCCTGGTTTGCCAGAAGTGGAGTCATTGTGAATATTAGACCATCTATAAGTTTTGATATTATATTTCTTGCAGTCGTGGGTTAAAGGTAGCCAACAGTGCATCCGAGATCTATGAGAAGGTTTTGGGGGACTCGCTGGGCTTCTCCAATCCTACCAGTGTGGAGTTCCTCTTGGGAAAACTGGGAATTAGTGAAACCCAACCCCCTTCATTAATGAGGGGCCTGCAATGGTAAGGGCCGTCTTTGCATATCATTTGTAGCTGTAGACTAATCCTGCCGGCTGAAACTGGTTTCCACACTCCACTCTTTTCAGCAAGCATTTCTCCGAGGAGGATTATGGGACATCTATCCGGAAGAAGCAGTCTGCATCTTGGGCATTAAAATGGTGATTGGGTCCTTCGGAAATATCGTAATCTAGATTTTAAGTTAAAAGCAGCTCTGACCAGTTGAAAGCTAAAATGTGCTCCTCTCTTACTGAATAACCTTCAATTGATGTAAAATGTTTATGTTCCAGTGTGAAGATCGGGGTCGACCACTTCAAGGCAGGCCGGCATGTAGAAGCTATGAATGAATACAACAAGGCCTTGGAGATAGACGTGGATAATGTGGAAGCTCTGGTGGCGCGAGGTGCCCTGTACGTGTCCATCACAGTGAAGGAGATGTGATGTAACTTTCATCTGTCTCCCACTGGATACATTTTTCTCTGTCATTGTCAGTGTTGGGTGGACATTGTTAGTTTTTTTTTTTTTAAATTCCCTTGCATTCTATTTTTAGGCAGCTATTGTGTGATGCAACACAAAGATATAAGCATGGTATTTTCTCCATTTGCAGGTATGCAACAAAGGGTAGTTTGGTGAAGGCGATGGATGACTTTGAGCTGGCGCTGAAAAGCTGCCCAACCCACCGAAATGCAAAAAAGTACCTGTGCCAGACCCTGGTCGAACGAGGTGGCCAGTGAGTCTAAAAGCTTCTTAGCATCTTCCGCAGTGTGGCATCACCCATCAGTGCTCAGTAGGGCTGGGGAACTCCTTTTAAAAAGGCATTGAAGTCTGTCATTTGAAGAAATTCAGAAATTAATTACAAGCATACTACAGGCCGAACCCATCATGGCACGGTAGATTAAGCCTGTTGTGTGGTACAGATCCTGAAAAGTGTAGCCTATAACGTCAGTCTACAGGAAATGACAAGGAGATGATATGTAACTTTAATTACCCTCAGGACAAGAACATCATCCAATAGGTTGCATTCTCAGTTTATCACTTATGATCTCAAAATTTGTGTAAATTATAGTATCTTAAATGAGCTGAACAAAACAGCAGCAACAATAAAAAAAAGTTTCTAAATTGTGATGTGAAAACAATAAAAATCAGGAAATGTGTGTTCGATGACCTTTCTTTGACTGTTAGAAGACTGTAGCTCTGCTGCCTCTGCTGTGAACTCTGCATGCCGTGGTCTGTCCCATATGTCAGGCTGGAGGAGGAGGAGAAGTTCGTGACAGCAGAGGGCCTCTACAGGAAGGCATTGGCATTGGATGAGACCTTCAAGGAGGCAGAGGAAGCCCTGAAGAAACTTCAGGTGCACATCCAGGTGAGCCATTGTACCCCATTAACAGGGTTCGGGTTTGGGTGCATGTCACCTCGTGTGTGACCTTTGACCTGTGGGCCATAGACAGGGATATACATAACAGCAACACAAGTTCTGTTCTTGTTGTAGCAGTGCATCTGTGCATCTATGTTATGTTAAGAACTTAGCATGTGTTTTAATTTTTCTACTTCATCTACATAAGAACATAAGAAATTTACAAACGAGAGGCCAATCGGCCCATCAAGCTCGTTTGGGGAGAACTTAACTAATAGCTCAGAGTTGTTAAAATCTTATCTAGCTCTGATTTAAAGGAACCCATGGTTTTAGCTTCCGCTACACTAGCTGGAAGACTATTCCATACTCTAACTACACACTGTGTAAAGAAGTGCTTCCTCAAATTTGTTTTAAAATGTTCTCCCACTAATTTCCACTTATGGCCACGAGTTCTAGTATTTAGACTAATATTGAAATAGTAATTTGGCTGAACAGCATCCAGACCCATTAGAATCTTATAGACCTGAATCATATCCCCCCTTAGTCTCCTTTGCTCAAGGCAGTATAAAAGTTAAAATGCCTGGTAACTTCTTGTCATAACAGTATAAATGTACATAAAATAAGTGTGCTTTTGCTATGCAACAACAAGAAATTTCTGTACGTATTGCTTTATGCAGCGAGAGTGTACTTGCGTACCTATATGTGTGTGCTATCAGACATACTATTGTAGGCTCCGTGGTTGTTAAAATTTGGTTTAGTTTAATATCAGTGGTTGTTCAGTGTTTTTGTTTAAGAATGACAATGTTTATTTGATTTTATATTTCTCCCTTGTAATGGATAAGTGCTTGATACATTAGCACTTTATATTTTGTTCTTCACACTTTGCGTCTTACAGTTTCAAAAAAATCATATAATATTGGTTTATTTTTTATTGATGATTTCTAACCATCAGGACTTTTGTTACATGTAGCATGTGTGAAGTTGCTTACCCTTGTAATACTGATAAAGCGTTTTCCTTGTGTACACATTGCTGTGTTTTGGGACCCTGCTTCTTGGCCGCACTGGGTTGCTGTGATTTGCTGTCTCCCTACCTGAAAATACGCCCGGAAACAAACTGCAACGGGACTTGTAATGGTTTGTATTTCGAACTTGGTCTTCATGTGGTAACTATGATTTCTCCTTCTCCAACTGGTTGTGTTTTCGCTTTTGATTTATGATTGGGTAAAATCACTACGCTAACCATGAATGTCCTGTGAATGACGGTTTTCTGTGACCAACCGACCTTTCCACCCGACGCTGATGATTCCTTGCATGACGCTAATCGCCTTGCCGATCAATTTTGAAACTGGCTGCGATTTTAACGTCACAATTGCCCTGCATTAAAGAAATCCCTGAAAGTGAGAGAAGAGGAAGCTGCGAAAGAACAGGAAAAGTCAAAAAATGTGGAGACAAGTGCAGAAAAATTGCGTAAGATCTTAAAAGAAGAAAAAAGGTAAATAGCTAATCGGGTCCGTGCTAATGGAGATGGCGGTTTTTGTCCCACGGGGGGGTTTCACCTATTAGGTTCCTGCTCTAAAGTAAGTGAGCATTTTCTACCCTGTCAGCTTGCTTTACAGAAACTTATGAGTGAGGGAAGTGCATGGAGAGAGGTCAGGCCATTGGGAATGTTTCACCTTTCAGCAGTTCCACTCTAAACCTCACACGTTTCTTACACAAACTAGCCTGAGACGCCTTCTCTTATTGTTATGAAGTCTAACTCATCTGTTTTGGGATGTGGTATCGTATCATTACTCAGAAGATCAGTTTTGTAGCTGTGCATCTATTTCTGACTTATGTATCCATAAGTCAACCAAATTTTGAATTTTGTTTTTGTTCCTCTGTCTTGCTTGGTTTGGTGCCTAGATATACTCTGGTAGGTTTAAATGTGGTCTACTTATATCAACTATATGGTATCTGTTTCACTAGAATGAAAAAAAGGAAGAGGCGATCATCCTCATCCTCAACGTCCTCATCTTCCACCTCGTCGTCTACATCCAGTGACTCGTCTTCCAGCCGCAGGAAGTCCAAAAAGAAGAAGAAGCGCAAGCGCAGGCACTCCCAACACAGCCACAAGAAACGCCAACGGAGGGTGTCGTCCTGCGACCAGAGCGTTGATAGTAAGGACGAATGGTACCCGGCCCCGGCCAATACGTCCGCCTCTTTCATGAACCAAAAGCAGGAGATGGTTAAGTTGCTAGATGATCAGGATTGGCAGGCAGGCCACAGTAGGTCTCATGTCAAGAGCAGAAGGTCGCAAGCTTCTGTGTCGTCATCTTCTGAGGTTTTGGATGACAGCAGAGGTAGGTTTGAAGATGACCCCTTTGATGGCACCCCACAGAAGGAGGAAGGTAGCAGAGAGAAAGAGGGGTGGGCTTTGGGTTCATCCAGCAGGGAGCTAAAGCCTTTAGAAAGGAAGCTGAGTTGTGGGGGGAGAGAAGTGTCCAGAGCTCAGAGGAACCTTGAGGAGACCTATGGGGGTCGTCAAGAAGTTCACGACAGCCCAGAGAGAAGCAGAAACCGAACGGCTGCCAGCCCCGAGCATGCTCACAGGCCCGAGAGCCGGGCTGATAGTCGCCCTGCGCAAGGCTGCAGCATCAGACGATGGGATGGTGTGAAGTGTGATGATCTCAACAGAGATGTCAGGGACAGGAGAAAGTCTGATGAGTCTCAAGGCAAGACTGCGGGTGACAGATCGCAAAATGGCAAGGGATCTGCAGAAGGGCATGTGAAGAAAGATCTGCCTGCAAACTTGCTGGACATTTTCAGCCAGATTGCTCAGTTTGAGAAAGAAAAATGCAACAAGATGAAAAAGTGAGAGGTTTCCTAAGCCCTTCTACGTTTAGGAAGTTCATCTTTTGTTTACATTCTGCTTTATATCTGCTGCAGTTCTCTGCCACTGCTCTCAGATTTGCCCTAATTAAGTTTGTCAGTGGTGTGTAAAAGGAATACCTCTGGTATTGTCAAAACAAAAATGCAAACCTCAAGTGTCTTGTATTATCCTCCTTCCTTGTGCAGAATCCTTTGAACGTCATGAAACCTGCTTGGTCTGTAATTAAATATCGGGGAAAACATCTTAATGCAATTTCAAGCAGAAGCTGTTTCTCCTTCTGTGGAAGCTGTATCTCTAGTGAAATCTCAAATGCTGCCAGATTCATCCGGCACTGTCAAGCTAGTGCAGCTTGTGACCCCCCCCCCCCCAACATGTGCCAAATGCCACCTTATTCTCCAGCCATCCGCTGACAAGTGGCTTAAATAATTACTTGCATATGAACAGTATATTTCCATGTACCCTTGCATAGCTCCCAATAAAATTCTCAAGCTCTGTTGATCAGTTCGTTTCTTTTTTTAACTTGTATCGTATTTTTAAAGCTAATCAGGGGCTACAGTTACAGAAAATGTTGCATTTATTTAGTGTGAAGTTCCTATATGGACTGTTTTTGAAAAGGAATACAGACGCTCCTCTACCTACGAATGAGATGCGTTCCAAACGGCCGTTCGTAAGTCGTTATTCAACATTTTAAGGGTATACGCAAGTACAAAGAACTAGGATGCTGGGAGTACGCACACAATGCTGCTGCACGGCGGGAGTAGCGGCCAGAAGTCGTACTAAGCGGAATTGGCGCTCAGAAGAAAAAAAATTGATGTTGCGGACAGGAAATGGGAGCCCAATGAACATAATTTGGGCTTGCAGTCCTCTTCGTTCGTATGTCTGAAAGTTCGTAAGTTGAAAGTTCGTAAGTAGAGGAGCGGCTCTACAACCAAGGATACAAAAGCAGCTAGTATCGAGAGCCGAAGACTTCTGGACCTCACTTAATCTGTAAATATTCTTTCATTTTTTTTTTTTTGCATTTTTTTTTTTTGTCATTGGGCATAAGCTGCGTTTAAGATACTTTAGAAAATGTTATCTTGGCAAAACTTGCTGCAAAGTGTTCTACAGCTGATTATCCATGGGGATTTTAAAATACAAAAGTCACTAGCATGAAAAAAAACCCAAAATATTCTCTGGTTTACTGTAAGAAAGGTAATCATGTGACCCCACCTTGACAATAACAGACCTACAAATGTACTGATTACAGACATCTTTCATATAGTTGACTGAATAAGTGATGTGGACATCTGCTGAAGGCAGCTCGGCAAAGGCTGCCTGAGAGATGCAGAGGAAGCTCTTTTCACTGCTATGTCCGTCACACTTCCAGCAGAAAGCATCTTTCAGGAAACGCCGACCTGTATTTGACAGCTTAATCTGCTTCTTTCAGACACTTGTGCTAGTTTTTCTCTAAACATTTATTTAATATGCCTATATACACATTCAGGACTAACATAGTTTAATATTAACACTTCATAATGGAAAACAATGTTTTCTGACTCTTATAGGCTTGGTGCAGTACACTGTATTCACATTTTACAGATGTATCCCTTCAGTTTTCCATCTTTCCTGTGTGAATGACGTCCCTCCAGTACAGTGCTTCTTACCCAAATATTTTCCAATTGCTGCGCAATCAACCTGGCAGTGATCAAATAAAGACTGATGGTCAAAATTATGTCTAAGAAATGCAATCATATTGCAGTTTCTGAGCATGTACAGTTACCCATCCAGGTCCAGGTTGAAAATTGCATAGCCCTGGGTTTTAACCCAGACTGAGGCTAAGCGTTCCAGGTGGCTGACTGCAGCTTAAGGTGATGGGTCAGTTTTTTGTGATATTTTCCTCCCTATAATGTTGTCATACACGTATCTTGGTATTTGCTCCATTCTTTGATCCTTTCTCAGTGATGTCAGCTGATTTAATGATTACAGACAGCTGCCCCATTTCCTGAGCAGAGCATGAGCACATGCCAGCTGTATCCCCCAGCTAAGGACGGTTGGATATCTTAGCTCTATCTGCAGCAGCTTGTTAACTGGAGCAATAACTATGTTATATACTTTATCAAAATGTTCTTGTTTTGTGTTTATTTTTATATTGTAAGGGGACAACTGAAGGGAACAATATTTTTACTGAATACATGGTACTGCACAGAATATGGTTTTTAATACAAGATTAGAGGTTTGTGCTAAATGATCCAGTGGAGGGCAGTATAACACAGATTCTGCACCAAAGGTGCTGCCACTAAAATTGTCAATGCAATCTAGTTGCATGAAATTGGATCAAATATTGTGTGGCATCTGTGTGTTGGCAATTATTTGTTAAATCGGCAAAGTTCATACATAAGTACACAAAATATTAGGCTTGTAGTTAGTACCTTTGTATACAAATTTCCTGCTCAATTATTAAATATGTTATGAACATGAGGTGGTACTAAATGATAAAAAAAACGACTAAATACTTTCTTTGAAGTGAAACTATAACTGTGCTATGCTGTTTACACAGATATACCAAAGCAGTTGTCCGAGGGACAAGTTTTCTGTTGTTTTTATATTCAGAAGTGAAATGCATATTATTTAATAGTAACTGTGGATATAACAATTTCACAGTTACTATTTTTTTAAGAAATGGGGGTCATAAAAGGTTACAAATATGCATAAACATTTTTGCTAAATTAGAAAAATTAAGTGTCACAGTTTTAATGCCAATGAGGTTATGGGTCGTAACATCCTGTTATACTGTACGTCGGTGTCTCCTACAGTGTGGCTCTCACTGGAACAGGCGAAATAAGCCGTGATACACAGTGTGCTGGAATGGCGCCAGGTATCTCCTGTGGATAGACGGAGGTAAGATGCCAGTAAAAGCATGGAAGCAGGAGTTTGTGCGAGTTTAACCCTGGTTCATCACCAGCATGAAGAGATGAAGCCTTTTCATGGAGGCCTCATGCGGCACTCACACAAACCCTCACCCTCCTGTTGGTTTCCAAAACAATATGGACATTAAAATTTATATTACTTTAAAATTTGACATTTGCAGTTTATCTGTTTTTTTATATATAGTGATGCTGAGCTGGTGAAGTATGAGACAGAAAATGCTGTTTTATTTACACTGATAGCCAAACACACCACAGTAGCTAGCAGCCCTGCTAATGGCCGAGATGCTCAGGGCTGCGCAGGCAGGACATTGCTTTCTAGATGGTGGGAAAACACAGGGCAAGAATAAACACAAATACGGTACAACTGATCTGATTAACTGGAAGAAGGCAGAAAAATCATTAAAAAGCAAGAAACGGGTGAACTGGATGTTATGCATATCGGTGCCGGTTGATGTCACCAACTTGGCCAGTGCCAAATATCACTATGCATATATGTATATACACTGATGGTCAGATGGCCTACAGCTTAGAGCCTATCCACAGCACACCAATCCGCATTTGATGAAGCTGCAGATTCCGGGGTTGGGTTGGGGGGGGGGTCTTATTCACCTTCACATTTTGATGTAAAGTCAGACCCTCATCTTGAAAAGAATGGTGATGAATCGATTCTTTGGTGGAAGCACCAAAGGGCCGGACATGAATAAAGAGATGAGAAATTTAAAATGTGAGCTTGAGGAAGGACATGACTTCCAGCTTAAAATAAAAGTAATACTGGATTCCCAGAGCATGACCACATGAAGCGATGGCACCAAATGTAAAGTGAAATGGTACCGGGACCTTGAAATTCTGGGCTAATTTAGGGGAAGGGAACTTCCGAACCTTGGGTGAAAATAGGAATACATCGCGCTCGGGAATTGTGAAAAGAAAAGTCTGTATAGTCAGCCTCATTTATATTCTTCAGAGTGCTGGCATTCAAAAGGAGGACATTGAATATTGAAATCTGACCGGTGAACTTCATCCATCTTTGTTACTTCTTATCACTGTAATAATTTACCTCTGTTACTGTACAGTGGGTGCACAGCAGTTGCTGGCAAAAGGGGAATTCCCAGCTAATTATCTTGATCAGAAATGACAATAATAAGCTTTATGTACAATGAGCAAGTCATTTTCGTGACATATGACTCTAAATCAGGCATGTGACCACATAGTAAAATTATGGGTTTGAATTCACCCCTGAAATTTGTTTTCTCCCAACCAGCCATGAAGCCAGGTAGTAAAATAACGAGTTTGAACCACCCTTGAAACTTGCTGGACACCCCTTCAAATTCATTTCTGGCTTTGGGCCTGCTCTAAATAACTCGTGGCTAAGCTAGAAAATGTAAGGTTGGCATGGTGAAAAGCAGTAGGCCTCCCCCTTGTAACAGTTGACTTCATTGACATTAACTTCAGTTTCCTTGGAGCTACATTTCCTTGTGCCTTGAACCCAGCCCTTAACAAATCTCTGAAAATGTGATAAAGCACAAGCCCCACAGCCCTGAGCCAATTCCCACACTAACCATGAATTCACACACATCATTTAATTTGCATCCCACAGAAAGAATGTATGTGGGATTAAAGCTACAGTTAAGCCAGCACAATCCAAACACATTTTATAAACATTTTGAGACTTTTGTTTTGTGTCTTTTTAAAATCATTTATAATCACTCACTCCCCAGAATTTGTCATTTGTAGGCTTCACCGGCCAACTGAAGCTCTAGCTGCACTGATGACTCTCCTGACTTCTGTTTGCATTCAGTTCAAACTGGTCACATTTACAATGACGTTATAGACCTGATTTGGGTTGGAAAATTAACAGCAGGAAGCAGAAAAACGTCCACACATAATACACAGAATCTTGACAATTGAGGTAGATCATATAGAAGGATTACACTTCTAACTTTAGGGGCAAAAAAAATCTAACTAAATTATTTTAGCCTTTTAGTGATTTTCAAATTATTGCGGATCTTGTACGGAAAGGGACTGCAAAACTCATATAAATGCACATGCATAAATTGTATATCATAAATTGTTGTCGTTACAATTAAGAGCTTAAACGTTTTTGAATGCTCCTCATGTCCCAGATTTTCATAGAACAGGCTGTTTTCTTCAGGTTTTTGCGCTCTGCTCCGATTTGAAGCGAGGCGTCTCGAGCCTGCAGTCGGATCCGGAGCTGTGCTATTTCTCGCGCGGAGCAGCGGCTGTACAAGCTGTAAGGGTAAGGCAAATGCGCATCGGGCGACAAATACAGTTTGAATATCCATATATCAAAAGCATGCAAATTCCATTAAGCTTGTAAACTAGAAAAGATTGGGGTTAATTTAGTAAACACACGGCGGCGGCGCTTACAACGGAGCTATAGAAATACACGGAGATGCAAAAAAAAATTTAAGAGTGCAGAATTTGCGAAAAACGCTGACTGCTGCAGCTAGAGCCCCGCCTTGGCTAAATCCAGGAGAGAGATATGAAGACTTTCTAATTTGCTTTCCCTCGAATTTTAATAATAGCTGTGCATAAGTAATTTATGAAAGGCCAACCAGGCAGTGGGCAACGGAA